GGCTTCAGTCTGACCTTGAGCAAATCCCCTTTCTGCTTCCTTTTGTGGAGATGTGGCACAGCGATATAGATCACTACAGGGGCTGAGTGAGGTACCCATCTCTGTTTTATAAGTTGGAGGCTTTATTTTTACTCAAAGCACCCCTTGGCCCCAAATACTTAACTCTCATTTCTATTGTTATTTTTTATTTTTGTAGGAATTCCTGTAGAAAAAAAGAAGAATATCAACACAAGCATGGGATTTTTTTTTTTTTAATGGTGTGGGGGGTTTTTTGTTTGTTTTTAAACTTGATCTCGGGTTTCGCTGTAGGGAGCGGGCAGGTCCCAGGGTGTGTGAAACCTGGCTCTGGCACCAGAGGGCACGCTGAGCTCCACAGCTCACTGAAGCTACCTGAAAAATTTCCACTGAAATCAGATTTCAAGGGAAATTCTTTGCTTTTTATTATGTATTTATTTTTTACAAGAAATAGCTACTTTATTCTGGAAATTTTTGGAGGCGGTTCGGCTAAATATTTCCAAAGCTTGAGGATTTTTGGGCCAAGGGGACCACAGAGCTTTCTTAAAGCTACTTGGACAATTTCTACAAAACCTACAGTTTCTCTTGACACATTTTTCAGGGCAGAAAAAAAAATTACAGGGCAGATCTAACTGCAAATCTGTGTGCTTTGTGGTTTTTGTGACCCTATCCCCAGGAGGGACAGTCTGCAAGAGACAGTGGGACAGCGTGAGGCTCATGAGTATGAGAATGATAATCCTCTTCACGGGAGCGCTCTGGCCAAGAGGAATGTCTGAGGAGAAACTGTATTATTGGCCATTACTTCCAAGGGAAGTGCTGGAGGATGCCAAAGAAAACAGACGTGAATGCAGGCCGTGCGCTTGGAGGGGTAGGTGCAGAGACACCCGCCATGGGGATCCCAGCCGATGAACAGCCAGCCACGCACAGGCAAGGACAGGCAGGCACGCACACACGCAGCATCAGGCACCAGGGAAAATCCAGGGTATTTTTCCACAGTATTTGCCAGCTGGCAGCTTTAGAAGTACTTTGTAAACATCAGTTGATGAAGTTTAAAGCACACAGAGTCATCGTCTTGCAAGGTAGGAGAGGAGCGCAGATCCCTTTCTACAGGCTGAAAGTGGAGAGACTAAAGGCTCTGCTCTCAGTCAGTGCTTCTACTTTTAAGTGCAGTTATTAGCTACTCCACTTTTCCAGAGAAGCTCACTCCCTGCAGCTCCTGACCATTTCACTTGGGATGAAAGGAGCCAGTTTTGATATTTTTGGCCTCCCTGCCCTGCCTAGGCACAGGCAGTGTCAGTGGCAGCAGCGATGAGCAGCCGCCTGCCCACCCTGCAGGTCCAACTTCCCTTGCAGAGCTGGACATGTCAGCTGTTTGTGCACGGCCACAGGCGTGCAAGACAAGGGACACAGGGAATGAATGCTTTGCTCAATGCCAACTATATGGCAAACTCTGGGAGGCAAAGGCTGTTGTTCTCTGATTTAGTACAGCAGCAAGCATCTTGGCTGGGTTCCA